GCTCCCTGGGGATGGAGACAAGTGACACTGTGTTTGGAAAAAATATTGGCCATAAGATAGTTTCAAGTGAAGGTACATTGCAGGTCTGTAATTTTTTTTTAACTTCAGGTTTTGCTTCACAGCACTGATAATTCCAGATGCTCAATAACTTCTTCTATAGCCACAAAGTACCATCTTAATTTCCTATTGCTGCTGTAACAATAGTAGTGACTTGAAATAATCTTCTTACAGTTCTAGAAAACAGAAGTTCTAAAGTCAAGGTGTTTATAGGGCTACATTCCCTGATACCCTGCCACAGCAATCACTTCACAACCATAATCTGATTCTGTTTTATTTTCCAGGAAACAAGAATGAAGCCCCATGGAGCATAACAGGGCAGCTGAGGGGCCAGGCATCATGGCAGCCTTGACATTTGCTGAGCTCCTATCCTGGGTCATACTCTGCGCCAAGTACTTTATAAGACGAGATGATTATCTCATTATGGTAGTGTCAGCCACAGCCCATTTGCCTTTGGACATCTGGCATCATCCTCTGAACAGTCCCTCCTCCCTTCTCTCTTCTTCCCTCCAGTTCTCTACCCTCCCTCTTTCCTCTCCTCTCCTTCCTTCTTTCCTTTCGTTTTGTTGTTGTTGTTGTTTTTGTTTTTGTTTTTGTTTTTTTCAAGCCCAGACTTTTCCATCATGCCATGCATTAGTCAGCACAGCTCTGGATGGGCAGATAGACAGGGCTCAGAGCAGGCAACCCCAGCGCTGTCGGCCAGAAAGTAGAGGAGTTCTAGAAACCTCCACTAGGGGTCGCCTAAGCTCTGGTGTTTGCTAGCACTGCTTTAAAGGTGATTCATTTCCTTTTTTTTTTTTAAGTCTTATTTTGTAAAATATAAGCTTAAAACAAAATAAGAAAAACAGGAATGTATAATCATATCTTTGGAAGTACTGAACTGTCACTTCATGAGGTATGACTGGCTCTTTTCCCATTTTAATTGCAGTCATCTGAATGAAGGGGTACATTTGGTCAGCCCCTTTTCTCCTGGTTTGCTCTGTTCCTCTTTAATGTAGAAAGGATTTCTACTTATTCCTCCAGATCTCTGTACAAAGAGCACAGGGAAAGGAAACAGCAATGGCTGTTTGGGAAGAAAGGAGGGCTCTCACAGTTGAGGGCTTCCCCACATGGGCTTGGGTGAGGGGTGGGGCTTCTGGTCACTCAGGCCCACCAGTCACAAACCTGGGCCCTATGCCATGGTCCAGCAGGCCAGGTATTGCACACCTGCACTCTTAGGCTCTGACAGCAGATGTGTCTTGCCAAGTGGAGCCCACAGCTAGAATGCAGGGCATTGCCCACTTCCTCTAGCTAGTGAAGCAGGAGTGTCACTTCTAAAGTAAAAGCCAGAGGACAAGATGGACTTGAAAACACGGCAAGGACTTTGCTTGTCTTGTGGCATTCCTTCAAGGCCCCCTATCACAGTGTGCTACAAGACACATCTCAGGCATAAATGGATGGAACAGCTAAACATAGCCATAAATGTGACACCTACAAAGAGAAAACCAGAAGTGTAGGAGGAAGGGTCTTTGAAGACACACCAAATTACCATGCCCCTTGATAACCATGTAAGATCAATGCACTGTCATGCCAAAAAAAAAACAAAATCAGCAAGAAGAACAACTGTGCTTGCTGGGTGAAGAAAATCAGCCCTCTTTTCTATGACGTGAGACTAATTATTAAAAGGGATGGCTTGCTTTGCCAAGAATTTCAATTCTGTCTTTACCAAGATGTGAGTTCTCTATGTACTGCACTCTGTCTTCTGCTTTTTATTTGAAGAAATGCAGCATTTGGGAAGCAGCAGATGTCACCTCTTGTGCAATCGGTGTGACATGATATTTTTGCAACATCATTAAAAAGTCTATCAAAATGAGAAACTTCTCTAAGCTCTCTCAGGGACCAGTAAAAACACTCAGGGGAGGAAGGCTCATCAGAGGGGATTTTTGCTAAAAGGCATGTGTGTTCACATAAAAAAAAAAAAATAGTTTTCTAAAGTCCCAGCCCATAGCTGGGATTTCTCTCCATTGATTCTTGGAGCTTAAATCCTGGGCAAGAACTAAGCCTAATCCTTTAAATCCTGGGCAGGAACTAAGCCTTGAAGCCCCTATCCCAAGCCCTGACCTTGTACCCTGGGGAAGAAACCACCAGTTTGCTGCCTGGACCCAGCTGGCTGCCTGGTCCCCACCTTTCTGATTGATGGTGTTTGAGTTGTCACATGATGAGAGCATAAGACCTGGGATCAGACCGACCTGATTTCAATCCTAGCCCTACCATGTGACCTTGGACCACTGCTAAACTTCCCTGGGCCCTGGGAAATGTGAATGCCACAAACAGCTGGCCTAGGGAATCATTCCCAACCTCCAGTAGGCACTCAATAAATAAGGGCTTTGGGACAAAGGTTCTGCCTGCCTGCCTGGACAGACTCTAACTCATAGAGTTCCAGATTTCAGCCTTCTCAGCCTGCTCCAGCTCCAGCCCAGCCAGGGAAGCTACAGCAATTTTTGGCTCTTCAGAGCCCTACACCATGGCTTGTGAACTTCAGGGAGATTCCATCTGGGCCAGTAAAATATTTTTAGTTATGAAGCTACAGCCTGTGGCATGTGGGACTTCAGCCTGCACTCAGGTGATGCCCACCCAGCTGCCTGACAGGCCCCAGACAGGCTCCAGGGCTTCATGAGACATTTTCCTGAGGCGACTATGGCTTCTATGATCAAGACAATTCTGGTTTTCCATTTTCAGTGTAGTTTGTTTTCTACATCAACAAGCTGCTTAAAGAATAAGTCCCCAGAGGGATACAATAGCAGGCTGGAGGCAGGGTGGCATTAGCACTTCTCACACCACTGTCAGCCCATATTGGGGCCCAAGTCAGACAAAAGACCTCAACACCACTTTCTTGCCTCTCTTTCCTATAACATCCTTGTGGACCAAATTCATCCCAGACTTTTCAACTCATTGAATCTTCACTGCCGCCCCAGGGACTGTGCACTATTGCCATCTCCAGCATACTGATACACAAATGGAAGCTTGGAGGAGGTCTTCATCAGCTCAAGGTCTCATGGCCAAAGGAGCTGGAACTTAGACCTTGGCCTCTTAACCACTATGCAACATTGTCACAAACCCAGGCTAGGGCACTGGTCTGGGCTTTTCAGCCCCATGCTGTGAGGGTGATCATGATATGTCCTCACAGGCAACCAAGGCACATGGAAGGTCACGAGGCAGACAGCAGGGGTAGACAGGCAAGAGAGAGTTTCGAGATCATGGGCTGGCAGAAAATCCTAATTTTGCTCAGGGAAAAAGTGCATTTTACAGTTCAGGATCCAGATTAGTTCTAATGCTATTACTGTTGCTACCAAGTCTGGAGTGAGCAAGGCCTGTACATCTCTGCCCAAAGGATTTTATGACCCAACAACACAGGGGCGTGGGTTCTACTATCGTATCTTCATTTTACATGATGAGAAAGTGGAGGTAATCTGTCAGAGGTCACACAGCTAGTAAGTGGCAAAGGCAAAATTCAAACTTAGTTCCAGCCAGTGCAAAGCCCCCTCACTTAGTCCCTGCACTCTACAGATTTGGTGAACAAGAAAACAATGATCAAATGTGTGATCCCAATAAGTGTCATGAAGCTACCCTGGGCTAAGTAAGCACTTGCTACGTGTCAGGCCCTGTGCTAACTGCTTCAGCTTTAAGGCCAACTGGCCTCAACTAGCCATTTTGCCTCCTTAATGTTCACTCAGGCCAGTTGCTACTCATGATATGGTTTCTATTCCAACTCCTCCCAGGGAGAAAAATGGAGACCACAAAAACAAGACAATCAAAGATCTTCCTTGAAAAGCTGCCTTCAGGCATCTTTCCATCCTACCAAAAGTTAACCAAGAGGCTTCCTGGAGACAGAGGGGTCTTCCCAGCAGAGTAAATGCACAACAGGCTGCTACGTGGCACCATCTGAGCTCATCTCCTCCAGTAGTACTTCCCATTTGGCACTTGTGAGGAACATGCTATGATAGTAGCAACTAGGTGTCATGCCCACATCTCCAAATCAGAGACCGTTAAGGCAAATGACCCTCCAGAATTGTGTGGGTAGGCACAGGCTTTGGCATGACTGTACTGGGAGACCACATAGGGTGCAGGATTTCCTCACACAAGACTCCATGGGCAGATTTAGGTGATATAAATGACTAGTGGACACACAAGCTCTCCAAAGGCTTTATTTGCAGCCATTTGTTTACCACATTTTCCCCAAGGAAAACTGTGGATGGTACCAAATGGGACTTCACCTCCATGGTGCAATTTGGCTGGAGGATGGGGTATCCAATCATCCAGGTTGACCTGAGGCAGAGCCTCAGTCTCACCTGTCCTGAGAAGGGCATCCCTACAAGGTGAAGGCTAGAGAAAGAACACATATCACATCTGGGAACCTTGGCTTTCTGTAAGTCCTCAACAAATGTTGGCTCTTACTAATGTTAATATCACACATACACAATCCTTCCTTGAAGAGCCTTCGAGCCAGATGATTTTCAGAATTCAGAAAGGGGATGAGGTGAGTATGCCCTTGCAGCATCTAGCAAACACAATGACATTTCTGGAGTTAGATGTATGAATATTAATAGCAACTGTGATGATTAAAGAAAATTCAGCATTCTATAAATAGTTTTGTGTCACCCATTTTAGGTTTTACTACCAAAATAATTTAGATCAAGCTTACGAGAAACCTTTTGGTTGCCAGAGCTTTATGAATTGGGGAATTGTGAATGACAGATCATAGGCCTATATTACCCCAGGCAACAGCCTGGCATCAACCCCCACACAGATCAAGGAATAGGCTCCTATCATTACAGATTCCTAGTGTCAAAACAACTCCCAATTCTCAAACCTGCCTCCCCATTGGCCCCAGGGTCTACTATACAACTTTGGTCAAAATCCATGGATGGCATCTGAATCCCCAACCAGACCATATCCTGTAGTACCTTTGGGACTGGGGGCCTGTGGTCTCACTGTTCTTCTTCCTTCTTCCAAAGCTGGAGGCATTTCACTGTCTGTCCATCTCCCATCTGCACACTTCAAGGCTCAGACCAGCATCCCCACACACTCTTATCTATTGGCACCTTCCTGGGAAAACACGGATGTATCTTGATCACTATTAGCTGTAGAGTGCTTTACAGTTTACAAATCACTTCCACATGAATCTCCTCAACCCCAGGAGATAGACTGAAAAATATCATTACTCCTTGCAGGGGGGATTTTAATACTATAACCACCTTCCAGATGAGGCAATTTTGGCTCAGAGAAGTAAAGTGACTTGCTCAGAGTCACCCACCCAGCAAGTGATGGAACCAGGGATCATCCCAGGTTTATAACTAAAGATAAAGCTGTGTGTCCTGCCCTGCTCCCCCATGGACCTGTGGAAGACAGGAGCCAAACCATCCTCATCTGAGTAGCTTTTCACACATACACACACCTCACAACTTTCCTTTATAGGTAATGAATGGATGGAACCTCATATCTTATCAAAATCTCTAAAGCTTCTATGCCAACAATTCTACAGTGGACTTGAACTGATGCTGCCAGGCGTGGAGGATGGGGCAGCAAGAAAGCAGGAACCCCCATCGGAGCAGAGCCCCTCTTCCACAGCTTTCTTTCCATTAGAAGGGTAATTTTTCTATCTCATCTGTCAGAGTGACCATTGCCTTTCACAGAGAAAGCAGAAGGCAAATGGTTAAAAAACCTGACAAACACTCAGAGAAGCCTAGAGGGTCAGCCCCAGAGATCATCATCCCACCTCCACCCCAGACAGATTCACACACACACACCTACACTCATACGCACTCCTACAGATGGGGAGCGGGTGTCTCCCAGGCAGTTTATGACAGAACTGGGCGGAAGGCCCATGTTTCTCCAATTCCCAGGACAGGCTTGGCAGCAGGAGCCAAATTCTCCTTGCAGACACACAAAAGCTGCGTGACAGAGGGAAGGTTTGATGAGACACAGTGTGTGCCAAATATATTCTTCAACCAGACTGTAGCCTTTCCCTTTGGAGAAAGATGTGGAAACAATCCCTTGACTCTGAGAATTGGACATGTGGGTTTCAAGGTGGGAAACCAAGAATGGGGAAGTGTAACAATGACACTAGGATGCCTCTGCCCAACTCATAGGTGAAGCCCCCTACTCACTCTTTTCAGTCCATGCTCCCATCCTCAAGTGGGGGTAATGTCAGAAGCCCCACCATTTTCTCAGAGGGAATTATAAGTGTCCAAAGAGCAAGTGCTCACAGGACATAACACAGCTGAAGACAGGTGGATGGGTCTAATCTCATCCTCAGAGTCTCCTCCACTAAGGCCTCTGTGCTTGCTATGGCAAGCTTTTCTTCTCCTCACCCCAAGAACTCCTCATCCCCCAGACCCTCTTTTCTCTCCTGATAAAGTTGCTGCTCTCCCACGGCCTCCTCACCGCTGCTCCACTTCCCCCAGGCCCAGGTGTACCTAGTGTCTTGCAGATGCATGGTTTCAGGGCAGACATCTAAGAATTCTGGTGCTCGATCAAAGATTCCTTGAATCTTTTTTTCTGTCCCAATGGGGGCTGAAGGCACAAACTTCATAAAAGTGAGAGCGACACATTGGGGGAGAATATACAGTGAACAACCAGATTTTCTTTGTGTGTGACACTCCCACAGTTGTCCCGTGAGTACAGCTCTACATCCTCTAGAAGACAGCATCTTCTACCATGGGTCTTTTAGCCCCAAGAATAGGGGCTAGAGTGGTGGTTGCACAACAATGTAAAGGTTCTGAATGCCACTGGACTGTACACCTAAAAATGACTAAAATGGTAACTTTTATGTGATGTATATTTTACAATTTAAAAAGAATAGGAACTAGGACACTGTCCAAGCTCTTTTTCTCCTGAATGATTACACCCATGCCCCACTGGCACCACAAATGTAAGTGCAGCTGTGTGTTCGTTTTCTTCCCTGGTTGCTTCCACCAGCTAAGAATGTCAGGTTTGAGGCTAATGTATTTGTTGTGGAGGCTTGGGGGTGTTGTCTATATGCTTTCTCCCAGACTGTCCTGAGGGCAGGGGGCCTTTTGTACAGATCAGGTGCTTAGATCTTCTGGCCCTCCCTGTACTCTGTGGCACTCTTGGTGTTCCCAAGTCAGGGACTGAGGTCTGGGTCACAGATAGGCCTGTTTCCAAGCACTCCAGATCATCACTCTGTCCTCTCACCACTGCCTATCTCCCCACTCTGACACACAACTGGTCTCACACTCCTCACCCTCCATGGAACCAGAGTTAGCTGCTCTCACCTTTTGCTTGGACAGATATCCCTTCTTCCCTGCCAACCTCTGGCATCTGAGTACCCAGGGAAATCTCCCCCTTTAAACTCTCTTAGGAGCCATAGGTTATTTCTGTGGAGTCCCTTAACTGATCCTGCTCCACCCACTCTGCTCCCTTATTTTGTACCTGACTACTCTAACATGGACAGTGGATGGGCCCATAGCTGTCAGCTTTTATATCCTATCCCTCACTCTCTATCCTGTGGCTCTGGCCACCATTGCCCAGCTTGATTCTGACAGCCTCAGTTTGTCCCTGAGGACAAGAAAGGTCCCAAGAAAGGTTCCAACACATGTGTCACTTCCAGGTCCTTTCCCTAAATTAGAATGGCAGCCAAACATCAAAAGTAGAAGGTCAACATCTAATGGCCTTGTCTTGGGGGGGGCACTGTGGGTGTGCACCAGGAAAGTCACATGTTGCCTTCACTGCTTGTTTCCTGAAGGACAGTCTCCAAGCATGGTTAGCAGGGTCCAGATAAATTCCTCAGGATGAGGGACCCCTTGAAGAAGGGAGTATATAGTAGTGGATTTCTGTCCTCAAAGAGTACTTCCAACAATCAGGAGCTCTGGAAAGCCTGCCCCTGATCTGAGCAAATCTGGCATGAAGTCTGTACACTGAAAATAGCTTTCCCAGCACATGGAAGCAAAGGTAGATGCATCTGATCCAGCTTGCACACCACAGGTGAAGTGATTGGTCACTACCACTGCCCCCAACCCAGGTCCCAAAGTCTACTATATCAATGGCATCATGTTAACCACTGGATGAGCAAGATGTGGCAGGGATGTTAAAGGACTTAGAAAGAGATAGACACTTCAGAAGGTGGGAGAATAACACTACAAAGGTTCAAAGGCCTGTTGTATCAATGAAATATTCAAGGGTCTAGTAGTCCAAGGCATGCTAGGGCTTTCCCTACTAAGTAAGGGAAAAATGGTTATATCTCACACCTCCCACCACTAAAGAAGCACAATGCCAGGTAGGCCTCTTTCAGGTGAGAAGCAGTGGACCAAAGGGTGAAATTACACCACTTACTATCTCTCCTGGTGATCCACATGGGAATTTGTGCTTTCTGCCCCCAATTTTGGGTTCTGTGGGTCTAGATGTGTGCTGTCCAATATAGTCACCACTAGCCACATTTGGCTATTTAAATTTGATTAAGATAACATATAATCAGAAATTCAGTTCCTTGATTGCACTAGCCACATTTCAAGGACTCAGTAGCCACACATGGCTAGTGACTACCTGATGGGGCAGGCTCCCTGGTTCACCCAATGGGAATGCTTCCACCAAGAGACACAGTAAGTCTCCCCCTGAACTCCAAGCCCTGACTGAAAACTGAATTATAAGTCATGGGCACACTGGGCTTCTCACGCTGTGAGACCAGCAAGCACGAAGAAGAGTCGCCACCCTGTTGGGGGTGTTGTCCCTGGTCACTGGGAGGAGGCAGGGCTGCTCTTACATGATGGGAACACAGAGGGACATGCTTGGCACCCAAGTGATCCATTTGAATGTCTCAGTAATCTCCTACCATATTTCTATGGTAAATGGACAAGTGCAGTTTCCACAGCCTGAGAAGGACATGGGGGCCACAGGCTCAGAACCCTCAGGGGTGAAAGTCCGTGTTACTCTTCCAGGAGAGCCGGCCTGGCAAATGGGGAGGAATCAGCCCTGCAGTGCAACTCAGCCTAGAGCTCCCTGGACTCCAGACAAGTGTTCGCACCCTTCACCCTTCCATGCCCTCTGGGGTGCCATTTGGGGTAGATACAGGGTCCTTGAAGACCCTGGGCTTGCCATTTTCACTGGTACCTAAGCATGCAGCACCAAAACTCCTTCCTACAGCTCTGCCCAGATTTGCAAGGAGCTCCTCCCCCAGCTCTTCCTCACAGCTCTGCCCCAACTGCTCCTGTCACATCTCCAACTCCAGCTCCTCTGCACTAGCTCCTTCAACAACTCCATTCTGCTCCTCCCACAATTCCACCTTTTTTCCCCAGCGGCTCCGCCTTACTGTTCCTACAGCTCAGACTCAGTTCCTCCCAAAGCTCCACTCCCACCTCCACATCCAAATCCTCCACCAGCTTCATACCCCCCAGCTCCTCCTCCTCCTCCAGCTCCTCCTCCTCCTCCAGCTGTGCCCCAGCTCCTCCAGCCACCAGGACTTCAAAGGTCCTCCCCCAGCTCTTTCACACAGCCCAGCCCCATTCCTCCCACATCTCCACTCCCGGCTCTGCCTCCACTAGCTCCCTCCTGCTCCTTGTACCACTGCTATACCTAAGCTCCACCCCAGATCTTCCTAATGCACTCCCAGCTTTTTTTCTGCCAGCTCCGCCATGCTCCTCCCACAACTCTATCCCAGGCTCTTCCTCGCACAGCTCCTCCAATTAGTAGGTATTCATGAGCTCCTCCTGCTCTTTCCTACAGCCCAGCCCTGTTCCTCCGTCATCTCCACCTCTTCTAGCTCTGACCTGCTCCTCCTACCCCTCTGGCCTAGATCGACCCCAGCTCCCCCTTTTCCAGCTCTTTCCCACAACCCTGCACTAGCACCTCCACAAGCCAGACGGGCTCCAGCCTGGCTCCTGCTCCGGCTCCTGCTCCTCCCACACCTCGCTGCCAACTCCTCCCCCAACGCTTTGTGGACCCCGCCCTTCCCCTCCCCAGCAGGGCACTGCTCACTCCCAGCTCCACCCCAGGCTGTGCGTTGACCCCTCCCCCAGTTCCTTCTCTGGTGGGCATCCGTCCCGCCACACCTCGCTGTTCCCGCGGCCCGGCCCTGCTCCTACCGTAGTCCCGCCCATGACTCCTCCCACAGCACTTTCAGCTCCGCACCCTCCGTCACAGCCCTACCGCTCACAGGGCTGCGGGCTGGCCTCGTCCCGCCGCCTCCCCTTCCTCTTCCTCCCTCCAGTCCCCTTTCCTCCCTCTGGTCTGCCCTCCAGTGCGCTGGTCTCCAGACCGCTGGCCGCAACCTCGTTTGCCGGCGCGTGTGAGGGGCCACTGAGTCAAATGGCGTCTCCCAGGGGCCCGTGCGTGTTTACGTAAGTGCGTGTCTTTGTAGCTGCGTGGATGCGTAAGTACGTGGCTGTCTGCTTGGCTGCATACGTGCGTGCAGGGGGTGTACGTGCGTGCGTGGGGGTGTACGTATGTGCGTGGGTGCGTGCCTGTCTGCGCTGTGCGTAACGGGTGTCTAGGGCTGGACCAGCGCGGCAGGGTTAACTCCGGCGAGTCCCTGTCACCCGCCACCTGTCTCCCCGAGGAGGCCGTGGCGGCTTCGCACCAACACGGGCTCTCTGCTGACGTCGTCTCCTCGTATGAGCGTGGGAGCTCCTCATCCTTGCGCTGGTGGCCTCGCCGGGCTGCGGGGAGGCGGAGGACTGTGCTGCCCAGTGGCCAAAGGCTGCAGTTGGCCCCAGGCTCCCGCGAGACCGGCTGAGGCAAAAGAGAGCCAGCAACCGTCCCGCCGGGGCCTATGTGCTCTGCCCTCTGCGCACACTACCTCCGGGCTGGGGTTGCCCAGGCTGTGGGGCTGGCGACCCCCTTTCCTGTCCCCTCCTCCCACCAACGTCTCACATCCCTGCTCCTTCTAGGTGCGCGTGCCCGCTTGTGTCTGCATGCAGAAAGCAAGTGTGCTGCTCCGTGTGCAGCAGCCCCAGTTCGGCCCTGTCCTCCCACCTCCAGCTCCTACCTTAAGCTGTGAACTAAGACCTGAGGCTGGGTGGTGCCCAGCTCTGTGGCCCATGGCACAGGGCTCAGCGTGGCTTACCCAGAAGTAAATCGAGGGAAATGGTATTTAGGCACCCCAAACCTTTGCCCTGTGACAATGTGAAGGCAGGTGTCATTTTTCTCCTCTTGGATTGGGGGTGGATGCTAGGCTGTAAGAATGTGAGCCACTTAATGAAATGATTTTCTGCCTTGTTGGCTGGTGCATTGTGTGCTCCTTGACCCAGACAGGGAGGTGTGTCCCACTGCTACCATTAGCAGAACCAAGCCAGATGTGAGGTGCCTATGTGTGTTACTCATAAGACTGGCCATCCCAGCTCTTCTTGGTCTCTGAACCCTGCTTAGTAG